AAAGAAGGCAGAAAATGAAAGACACTAGTAATATCCAACCAAGAAAATTATGTGCAGGTTTCAAGAGGCACAGTGAGAACTGCTTGAGCTAAAGCAAGAAAGTAACAGCTACATTGTTCAGAAGTAAATGAACGTGTGTCTAATGGTAATGCATGCTGCCTGGATATAAATACTCTAAAAAAAAAAAAACACACATGAAACAACCACAAAGAAAATAGAAGAAAAATAAAAGGAAAAAAATACCTAGTTGAGTGAACTTGAATATAAAAAGATAATCAAAGGAAAGAGAAATACTTGCAAAGTTGTGTATAAGGCATCATTTACAAAGGAACACTGGAAAAATTGTAGAACAGAGGTAAGAGAATGTAAAAATAAGAAAGTCTAATGTAGAGAATGAAAGGAAGATTGTACGTATTAGGGTAAATGAGAAGACATTTGTCAGATACTCAGGAACAGGATAATAGAGAGTAAGGAGGAAGCTAAGGGATGGGGATGATAATTTAATAAAATGCAAGAAGAGCCAAACGGAATCAGACAGATAGCTCCTATCATGTGGTAGTTAGCATTCATCTGTCACATTATCAATGGCCTGTCCTGGGTGAAACTGATTTTTGTGAATTTCACTTTTATAGTCTAGCACCACTACCCATAGATGGTAATATATTTGTCATTGGCTTCCTTTATGGAGTCTCTCCTGGGTGGGTTTTGACAAGGTGACTCTTCAACTTAACTACTGGCTAATGAAACATGATTTTGAAAAGTGTATCCACCTGGTGTTCTGATATGAATTTTCAAATATGTTAATTTACTAAAGCCTAAAGCTTCCCAGGTGGCGCTAGTGGTAAAGAACATGCCAGCCAGTGCAGGAGATCCAAGAGACACGGGTTCAGTCCCTGGGTGGGGAAGGTCCCCTGGAGAAGGAAATGGCAACCCACTCCAGTACTCTTGCCTGGAGAATCCCATGGACGGAGGAGCCTGGTGGGTACAGTCCGTGGGGTTGCAGAGTCGGACACGACTGAGCTTATGCACTTAGAGTACCGCAAAAGCTGGGCCACGTCCCCCCTCCCACCCGGAGTGTCTTTCCTGTCCTCCTGGGTGTTAGCCAAACAGAAGTTAATGTTTGACGCTGACAGAATACACGGCTATGCGACAGAAAATGTATGTCTCATCCCCAGTTCCCTATGTGTGTGTGTATTCAGATAGGTCACTTAACTTCTTCATAACCTTCCTCCTCACCAGTGTGAAAATAAGGATCATGCCCTCTAGGGGGAGGCTTCATGGGTGGCACTAGTGGTAAAGAACCTGCCTGCCAATGCAGGAGACACAAGAGATGTGGGTTCGATCTCTGGGTCAGGAAGATCCCCTGCAGGAGGGCAAGGCAACCCACTCTGGCATTGTTGCCTGGAGAATCCCCATGGACAGAGGAGCCTGGCGGGCTTCAGTCCACAGAGTCACACAGTCAGACATGATTAATGTGACCTAGCATGTACGCCCTCTATGCATCTCTAAAGGCAGGAAGAGTAAATGACACACAAGAGAGGACCGCCAGCCCTTCTGAACATGCTATCAACATGGGGTACAGCTGAGCCTGGCTGTGGAACCCACCTCTTAGATGCCATAAGTCAGTACCTTTTGGTGCCAGGGATCTCAAATCCCCTCCTCTCCTGGAACACAGCCAAGAGGGAAGCATGTCTTCTTCCTTACAAGTACTGTGCTGGCCATAAAGATTTCTGCCCTCCAAGCTCTGCCTTCCCTAGCATGGTATTTGGTGTGCAGTCACCTAATTGCTGTAGTTTTGAAACACCAGGAGGCCAGTGACTAGAATGTAGTGTCGTTGTGACCACAGGCTCCAGGCTTGGGTCTCCTCCTAAGCACTCAGCTCTTCAGCATCTGCATCCTATGAGGCTCTGAAAAATGTCCAGAAAAAAGCGCCCAGCCATCCATATTCACTGGCAAGCACGACACCAGGCATGCGGCCAGTTTGAATGGTATCGGGAAGGCATATGGAAAGTTTTTTTTTTCTTTTTTCCTCCAACAGGCTTTAGAACTTCAAAGGGATCATTTGTTTGATTATCGTTACATCAGTCTATCACCCAACATCTTTGACCCCCTACAATTTGCCAGGCACTGTGCCTGGCTCTCGGAGGAATAAAAGGAAAGAAGACATAGCCCTCGCCTCCAAGGATTGAAACTCAACAGATATGACAAAATACCTAACAAAATAATTACCTACAGCAGTCATGAATAGTGCTAATGATGGCTATTTTTGAAAATCTAAGAAAGGAGGATATGGGTCAAAATCATCAAGGATGTCTTCACAGGGAAGATGAGGTTGGAACAGAATCATCTTGGGGTCTGAATTTATTTTGAGAAGGGAATTAGGGAGCAATTGTATGAACAAAGCTTTTTCTGGGAATGTTCCTAGAAAAGTGGGCAATAAGAATGGCAATAAGATCGGCAAGATTAGTTAGGAAATTGTTGCTTAGTCATATATTTGACAGCATTCATTTTTATTTGCTATCAGTGAGGTATCATACTGGAAGCTGAATATCAAGCATTGAACAAACAGACCAAGTGTTTGTCCTCTTAGAGCTTACCCTTTAGAGAGGAAGCCAATGCATAGAGATGTCAATGCATAAACAGTAATTCTAAATGCATGGTCCTATGAAGGCAATATTCTTCTTTAGGAAGTTGAGGAACCTAACCTAGGTGCCCTGGAGATGACCACACCAAGAAGAGATACTTATTAAACTGAAAGCTGATGGAAGACAAGGATCCAACCACTGAAAGTGTTGAGCAGAAGCTCGATCCAAGTAAAGACAATAGAATACAAGAAGGCCAGAGAAAGGCAAGAGTATGGCATATTACACATAAAAGGAGGCCAGTGAAGCTGATTGCATGGGGTCTTAGTGATAACATTTTTTACTTACTTCTTATCATGGGTTATGTAGAATTCTTGACATCTTAATATCAGAGTGTTCATGTAATTGGTAATTAGCTTGTCAATGATGATTCTTACATATTTTTATAAATTAATTTGATAAGAAGTCGAGGCAATGAATACAGTCTTGATCATCCAGAATTTTAAAAAGAGTATTATCAGTATACATTTATTTTCAAAAAAATTAGATGCTTTGGACATAGAAGAGTTGGAAACTTGATGGTATCAATATTTATGGGAATTATTAACTTTGAGTAATATAAATAAGACATTGATGAAGCAAAAAATAACTTTTAGTTCAAATTATAATGTACACTTTCTGTGTAATAAGAGATACTAGTGCTAGTGATGTATTAATTCTTAAGATATTGAAAGATGATCATAATGTAGGTCAAATCTGTTATTATAATTGTGTTCTAATATGATATGATATGTGAAAATAGTAGTGATTATTACAGAATACAGTAAAATCCAGACTAGGCAAACATCTAAAGCAGTTTAGATGGCCAAGATCTTAAGCAGCTGATCTTCGGAATACAAAAGCAACATTTAAAAAATTGTGTGAGTGTACGTTGGTGTGGTGTGTATGTGTAAAGAGTTTCTTGACTCAACCTCAAATCTAAAAGTTAAAATCATGTCAATATTAATGTTTTGGAAGAATTAATCCAGAGCATTCTAATATGTTAACACTCTCCAAATCATTTTGTATATATACTAAAGCTATTATTATAATGAAGAATTTTTAAAACTTTCAATGGATTCTTACCCTTTCATTCTTTTATTTGTGATGATAATGCTTGGAGGTTAAGAAGTTATATGATAATAGTTGGACTTTATAGTCTACCTTTTATTTAAAATGTTGAAAACTGTCATGAATTAAACCTCTTACTGCCCCTGGGAAGTCATAAAATGCACTCTTAATTCCTGCAGCACCTCCTGCCATGTTCTATGTTGGCCAGACATTTAGTTCTATTTTAAGTCCTATTTAAAATCCATTTATGTATAAAACAATTTAGATTCTCTGGGCATGTCTAAAATGCAGGCACTCTGGTACAAGATTGTGCAGTATTAATACCCTGCCAACTTGGGTCTTATTCAAATTATATTGAATCAGTTTGTGATTCTTTGATTCATTATCTATAGTTAGATTACCCCTATTTTTTTAAAAATAGGAAGTCACATTTATTAGTATATGCATACATATAGAAAAATGAAGTGTAAACCTATGATAAGGTGCTCTAAATCTTGTAGTATCTGAAACTTTTAATGTTATACTTGCCATTTTTATTTGACTCCGTATGGTTTATAACCATGAACACATTAAATGGACTCCATTGTGTCAAATGGTATTTTCAGTGTGGATAGGGGTGGAACTGTATGAGGACATTCTTTGGGAGGTGGGGCTGTTGTAGGGTTCTGTTTTATTTTGTTGACAGTAACACATGGTCCTGTGATTACCAGAATCTTTTTTGGTGATGTCATATGGGAAAGTTAGCATTTATTCTTCTTTAACATTTTACTAGATCTTTAGAGTGTTATAAAACAAGCATTTACTACTTAGTAGTTAAGCATTTCCTCTCTTTGTTTAATTAATGTATTGATCGGAACCAAATCTATAGGATCAAGCTTATTGAGACAGACTATCTGTGCCTCTTTCAAGAGATCGTTGCTACGCTCTGCTCCACACTTTTCAGTAAATAAAATTTGGACAAAACTGCAACATATGGAGACTGAAGCATCCATTAAAGACTTTTGGCAATAGTACCTTAAAGATATTTCAAAAATAATTCCGCTTTATTACTTCTTCTGTGCCATTGCCTATAACGAGGGTTTTAAAAAGACCAAATACAACTCTCTGATTTCCATTTAATGGAAGAAGTAATAAAGTTTAATTGTATACTTGAGCACAGGGCGTCATTTCCAGTACATCTGATCAATAATTCATCGATTGCCTTTGGCTCAAAGCAATATTTGAAAGAAAATGCAACCAGTGGGAGCTTATCTAGCTGTAGCTTCATCATGTCTATTAATTATGCTTTTCCCGAATTTGGATCATTAGGCTACCAAAGTGACAGCAGACGGCGAGCAAACTGGACAGGATGCTGAGAGGACCAACACGCGGGCAGACTCCTTGGGGGACTTCATCAAGGACCTGGCCCGGGATGCAGAAGGTATCAGCAAAGGCATAGTTTAATCATTGTTTCTCCCAGTAGGAAAAGAAGGATCAATGAAGACTGGAATTTCTCTAGCAAGAGCTGGCCTTTCTAAATTTGAGTGTTGGGTTTTTAAAAAGTATTTTAATCAAGATATTCTAGGGCATTATCAGTTGAGAATCTATGGCTTTCAGTGTTCAATTTGTAACAACAGTCAGTGAATTAGGAATTATGAGTGCAAACCAGCAATACATTGAATGCATTCCTTTGGGAACGCTCTGATTCTTGAGGAATATTGTGATCAAATATGATTAAATCAGTTAATGGGCAACTTCTCTGCTCTCATGCTGTTTTTGTATTCAAAACTATTTAAAAGATTCTTGATTTTTTTTTAAAAATTAATTTAATAATTCTGCTCAGTACCTTACAGCAGTACTTTAATTTCTCAAAATGACTTTTAAATTCTTGGTTCTGGTTTTTAATGAACATCTGTTGCTTGGAATTTGGATGTGCTGCCTTACCAGAAGCTGCACTGCATGTAGTTCACAATTCTCTAGGAGTTAGCTGTTGGCATCCACCAATCTGATTTGAGAATCAAAGTGGAAGCCATTGTGGGGCAAAGCCCAAATTAAGAAACTCAAAGAAAAGAAATAATGCAAAAAAAAAAAAAAGCCCTCAAAAAAAAACAAAACAACAACAGTTCTTAAATATCTATTAATATATCATAAACATCCATGCATGTTGAGAAAAATAGGAAAAAAAAAACAACTGAATTCCTCCACAATGTTAAACATTTTAGACGTTTTGCTTTCTAATATAGACAAATAAATCAGGACATGAGAACCTTCAAGGCTTTCAAGATCCTAACAAGTCTTTCTTAGGAGTCACAGCCAAGAAGAGGCAGGAACTTCCACTGATCCCCCACAGTAAGAAACTGCAGAGTTTTCATCTGAGGCTCCATCTCAGGGCAAATATGTCAGGATCTGGAACAGAAATTACTTGTACCAAAACGAGTTAACTCGTTAACGTGGTTTCTCCTCAGCTAGATGAAGTTGTTGTGGTTTCCTTGATTTCATTTTCCATTAACGTTGTTTTTATTTGCATGTATTCTCCCCCACCCCCCGCAAAAAAAAAAGAAAAGGAAAGAAAAGAAAAGAAAAACCTTTGCAGACAGAGCTGGTTCACTGTATCTGAATACCTGAAGATGTTAGTACTCTAGGAGCTTTCCGTTAGCTTCCATCTTATCTCAAGCATTAATAAGCAGCTTATTCTGGGCTCTCATCTTCATTGTTTCAATCAAACATTGCTACGTAAGAATAAATCCTAACGATACATGTTTTCAATATGCTCCAGTATCAGCACTGCCTACCTCTCTAGGCTGCGCCCTCCACCTCCCAGTTTGTGCGTAACACAGATACACCAGCAGGGGGCAGAGTGGAGACAGCATTTAACCCCGGCTCGGCTCACCACCCAGTGTGTCAAAGAAAAGGGTTATGTATCATGGGAGATGTCTCCCAGTCCCTAAATTTGTCTGTCAGTCATATGCTCTTATTGTCTGTCCAAATGGTACACCTTTTCCTAATTCCTGTAACGCGCGCGCCATGTGGACGGCTGTGATCCTGTACCTGAGGACAGTGTGACCATTACTCTGTTCTTCCAACAGGTCCTAATGAAGATGATAACAAAAATGATAATCACAGCTCTTTATAAAACAGAATCCAGCTGTTAACACTTCATGAAAATTCAAATTTGTATATATCAGAGTTAAGCTAAATCATTTCTGTTATATATATATATATTTATATATGTATATATATAAATATATATACATATATAAAACAGGCTTGGACATTTAGGGGATTTAAAAAAGAAGAAAACTCACTAAAAGCTTTAAGTGAGTTATATACAACATACCTATACCTTTTTTCCCTCTAGAAACCATAACAGTGGATGATCATCAGTATCTTTAGTTTTTATTAGTGGTAATAAATTGCTGTGGGAAAAGTGAATACTTCAGCCTGGCATTTGTCTATTTCAGTTTCCTTTTAGATAGATGAAATACTTTACTCATCCTATATTCCATTTTAAGTCTATATAGAAATCAAGTTCTATTAATCTAAGGCATTCTTATCTCACACAGTTTTATAAAGTCTGCTTTGTGCTGACTTCTGGAGTCAATAAAATGAATAAACTACACTTTATTCCACACACTATTAGAATTAATGAGTGAAGGTATATAAAACCATTAGCATATGTCCTGATATATAATAGGACTTAAGAAATGCTGGACAGCCTTCTTTCCTGTTCCTCAGGTCACAATAGTATTAGCCATTCATGATAAATTTACCCGTTACAGGTTATTTTTCTCAGGTTCAGCATGAAAAATAGTTTTGTTTCTCCTGAGGAATTAATTTATTCAGTTTGTATGTTACAGGTACTGTATACCTCTTAAATACTCCTCTTTATCCTGATGCTTTGGCTACTAAGATGCTTAACACCAGATTCAGGACCCACTACACTGGATATTACAGCATGCCTTATGCCTTTCTGTCTAGTCACTCTTTGTCTGGTTTACATTAACATTTTTATCTTTGCCCCATCTCCTTTTATATTTATCTTGTTTTAAAGATATTTTAACCTAAATTCCCTTTGTAATAAGGTAGAAACGATAATGAAATTAAAAGATGTGTTTCTATTGCAAGTATTTTTAATACCATTGAAAATATACTGAAGTGATAGTGAATATCTTGGAATAATAGACTACATAACACATTTATCTTAAACGTAAAAGTACTCGTAAAAGTTCCAAATTCCATATATAGAAGTAATGGAGCAATGAGACATCTATAAAAATAATACTTGCTTTCTTAACATAGCCTCATTTTGCTAAAGCAGTATTTGTGTACCCTAATGATTTCTTCTGGTTGCTTGCACATTGCTTTAATTTAAAAGAAATTATATAATCCATATTTTCCTTTTCCCCATCATTCTTTGTGCACTACATTCTTCTCTGTAGAAATTTAACTTTGAGATTAGACTACAAGAGAAACAATGTGATTGTATTTCACATTCTGTGCTGCCTTGATAACACCTAGGACCAGGACCTAAATTCAATCAAATTTCCAAAAACATCTTTAAGCAAAACTCATTTATATGTTCATTTAATAATGAAAAAAATATATAGCCTTGTCAGGTTTAGAAAGGGGGAATTATCCATTTCACTTAAGGAAATAATGTGAATGCCAAGGATGTCAGTGGTTACTTACATGCTACAAGTGATTAAAATCAACTGTACATATAGGTGTGCACTCAGACCATATGACGGGGCTCTTTTATTGGTAGAGTGAAGTCTAGTACCATCTTTCTTGAAATCTAAAAATAGGAACCTTCTAACATTTAATCACCCAACATTTTGGCATGACTCCCACATAGTCTGCTGGTCCAAGGTGCCTTCTAATCAATAGTCCGTGGTGATTCCTTAAAAATTACATGTCCAAGGTGATGTCTTACTAATCACAATGGTAGAATCTTGAGAAGGTTCTTTGTCATATATCAAGGGATGACTATGAAGCAGACAGCCAGAAAGAGGCACCCTCATTAACTTCTAGGAATAGCTCCTGAGCAATAATTTCTACCACAGGGCTAAGAATGGCCATATTTGTTCTTTAAGACACCTGATTCAGATTGTTCCATAGATTTTAAACTATGACTATCAGAAATGGCAGGTTGATTGCAGCAACTTTTTAACCAAAGACATTTATCATTAAAAAAGAATTAGAAAGGGTAGAAGTAGAGACTGAAACTGTTTCTTCCACCAACCCCAGATACTCAAACTCTAGGTGCATCAAAATCCTGGAGGGCTGGTTAAAACAGTCAGTGTCGGACCACACCCTAGAACTTTTGACTCAATAGATCTGTGATGGGACCTGAGAATCTGCATTTCTAATGGTCCCAGGTGATGGATCTGATGTTGTTCACTTGAGGACCACATTTGAGAACCACAGCACTAACCCACGTCACACTCCTGCTGCTGGTCTGTGTGGCCGAAGTATGTGCAGTTTCTTCAGGTCTGTCCATACCATCTTGGAACAACTCTGACCAGTGTTAATCAGAAAAGTTTCTCCAAGAATAGAAAAGATATTTGAAAATTCTTTAGATCTTGAAGAGGTCTTAGGATACAGTCTTGAATGGTAGAAAATGGTCTCTTGGTCAGCCCATAGTCTTTATTCTGGGGATTGTCTTTGGGACTATTATAGACAAAAGGGCTCAGCAGACCAAAGAGTTAAAAAAAAAAAAATCTGTCTTCAATTTGCTAAATTAATGCTCCATAGAACACACTTAGAACACACTTCAGAAAAAGTTGGTCTAAAACTAAGGTAGGACTGTGTACATGTTTCAGTGCACCAATTTTTCAAACTTTTATTTGACAGCGAATTCTTTCTTCAAATGAAATCTTGCCCAGAACATCAACCTATAAAATAGATTCTTGGCAGAATAGACATCATTTGTAGAATACCTGAAGTGCCTGGAGAATCCTAAGATTCCAAAGAGCACAGTTTGAAATCCCTTTTAGTGCATAATAAACACAGATTCACAGGAAGGCTGTTATTGCTGAAAGGTATCTTTGAGCCCTGGTGTATACCTGTCCCAAGGCTGGGGCTCCTTCCCTCATTCCTTTGCACGAATCAACACAGAACTGTGTGGAAGTGCAAGGGCAGTTTCATTTTTCAGAGATCTCATCACAGATAGTGTTTCTTACTCAGGGTTTTAAAATTGCAACTGATTGTGTCTTATCAGCAATGCAGACTTTGTATTTTCAGCTTCCAAGAATTAATGCTACATGTCTCATTTTTCACTCTTACCTGGAGAGAGTTTAAGCCCCTTAAAAAGTAGAAACACTATGTTTTAATTACTGTGTCCCCCTAAAAGCAACATAATATAGAGAAATATGCCACATTTCCTTGTTTCTTATGGATTGGTGTAGCAACTGCCTCTGTTTCTCAGCAGGAAGACCCATGACAAACAGCGGTTCTCTTGGAGATGGTTGAGAAGAGCAGATGCTGGCTGCCACTTTTACATGCAGCATTTTGTTTGCTAATTTGCAAAATTTGTTTTACCCCCTGCAGCTGTAAATGAAAAAGCTATAAAACTAAATGAAACTCTAGGAACTGAAGACAAGCCCTTTGAGAGAAATTTGCAAGAGCTTCAGCATGAGGTTGATCAGATGATGACAGAACTGAGGAGGAAAAATCTAGACACACAAAAGGAAGTTGCTGAAGATGAGTTGGTGTGAGTAGAAGCTCTATTATTTTTTTCATTTGATAAACTGAACTTTCCAAATTGTTGGTTCGAGTTTTCTAAATTTTCCATCACACGTATCAGTAGGAGATACTTTTTATGCTCTTTGTTTTTCATCTACTTAGTTATAATTTATCTTGCTCTAAAATGGATCAAAGGCATGTTTATTCCTATATATAAATAATTAAGTAAATTATCTATTTTTTTGGTGCTGTCCCTTCTGCAATTGGGCTTTCCAGGTGGCACTAGTGGTAAAGAACCCGCCTGCCAATGCAGGAGACAGAAGAAATGTGGGTTTGATCCCTATGTCGAAAAGGTCCACTGGAGAAGGGAATGGCAACACACTCCAGTATTTTACCCGGAGATTCCATGAACATGTAGCCTGGTGGGCTACCATAGTCCATAGGGTCACAGAATCAGACAACACTGCGGTGACTAAGGATGCACACTTCTTCGATTAGGCTCCTGGGCTTGCTTTATTAATTTCCTGTATTAGGGGCTTTAAAACTGTTGTTTTTGTTTTAATGAAAATATTTTTGGATAAATAAATTTATGAATTTAGCAAGTCATCCTGTACATTTTGTCATCTTGGGAAATATTGAATAGAAGAACTGTCAGATAATACATACTAATACTATGAAATAAAGGTTGGGGATTTGAGGTTATGAATAATGATAGTGATTTTACTAATGCCGATGAATGCCAATGGTTGTATACTCAATAAAAAGTACATTTTTACATTTACAGTAAACTACAATGTGATGGTATTGTTAATAATCAAATAATATCTACTAAACTAGCAACATTAGCAACACCTGAAAACTTGTTAGAAAAGCAAATTATCCAACCCCATCCTCAGTTCAGTCGCTCAGTTGTATCCGACTCTTTGCAACCTCGTGAATCGCAGCACGCCAGGCCTCCCTGTCCATCACCAACTCCCGGAGTTTACTCAAACTTCTGCCCATCGAGTCGGTGATGCCATCCAGCCATCTCATCCTCTGTCATCCCCTTCTCCTCCTAACCCCATCCTAGACCTACTCAATTAGAAACTTTTGGGATGGGGCCCAGTAATCTGTTTGACAAGTGCTTCAGGGGATTATCGTGCCTGCTAGTTTGAGAACTACTCTTTTTCAAGTATTTAGCCTTTCTTAAAGGGCTCAAACAGTATCACTTTAGAAAAACCATTAAGTTGAATCCAGGATACTCCTAGAACTCAGTTCAAAGGAAAACAAAAGTAGATCAAAATTATACTAGCATGTCAACAGCGTGGCATTGTATTGTTTCTAACCAAACGTATCAATATTCACATCTTGTATTCAAAGTAACAGAAAATATCTCATGGTTAATCATATTTTATTTTTGGTATATAATATACATGACAAAACTGATCATCAGCCAGATTTTGAGAATAGCTTGAGTTCCTTTGCAAGTGAAAATGTCGTTATTAATAAATGTACAATGTGTGATTTTTTGTGCTTTAATTCTAAATGTTCTTGCCACTTTTCAGCTATCAGTTTTCAACTTGGTTTAGCACACAGTCTGCTTTAAATATTGTCATGTTTTTCCATACTTCTAGTGTTAATATCTCTTTGTAACACTGTTTAATACCAACCAACTCTGAGGCAGTGAGGGCTTATTGTCTCTTGTTGGGATGGGGTCTTTATAGAGCTGCAGAAAGCCTTCTGAAGAAAGTGAAGAAGTTGTTTGGAGAGCCCCGGGGGAAAAACGAAGAGATGGAGAAGGATCTCCGGGAGAAATTGGCAGACTATAAAAGCAAGGTTGATGATGCTTGGGACCTACTAAGAGAAGCCACAGATAAAATCAGAGAAGCTAATCTCTTATCTGCAGAAAACCAGAAAAACATGTCTGCTTTGGAGGTGAGTCCTAGAGTTCTTTCATCTGAATCTGGGAGTGTGGTGTAGGGGTCTGAACGTGGCCAGGTAAGTCAGTGGATGCAAGTTGATACATGTTTATGAGATCATGTTTGACAGCTCTGAAAGAGGACTTCTAAGAAGCAGGACAGAGAATGATCCTTCTTTTGTTTTTTAAATTAATCATCACTGCCCATATAATCAAGTAAAATTTAGATAACTTAAACTATTTAAAATTTTTAAGAACAGTGTGACACAGTGGAATGAGATCTTTGTTGGAAGTCAGGGGTGCTTGGTCTTAATAACTGTGCCACTAATTAGAATACAAGCCTGAGCAAGTCGAAGTCCCAAAGCACCAGTCTCTCAACCAGAGAGTGAGTGCGTTATGCTAGAGTATATCTAGGGTTTCTTCAAATATTACTACCTTGATTTTACAACCCACCCAACCTAATGCATGAGCCATGCTTCAGACATGGGCTGCCATAAATCACAAGAGTGTCAAGAATTTTCTAATGGAAAGTGTAGTGAAAGTAAAAGTGTTAGTCATTCAGTTGTGTCTGAGTGACACAACTTTGCGACCCCTATGGACTGTAGCCCACCAGGCTCCTCTGTCCAAGGAATTCTCCAGGCAAGAATACTGGGGTGGGTAGCCATTCCTTTCTCCAGGGGATCTTCCTGACCCAGAGATGGAACCCAGGTCTCTGGCATTGCAGGAACATTTTTTATCCTGTGAGCCACAATGAAATCTGAACATAAAAGAAACAGCTAAGAGACCAGAACTTGGGAACATTTAGATTCTCTTCTTCTTTGCAACATGTTCTATGAAAATGATACTTTACAATCAGTTCAAGTCTGAGTTCTTTTCTCTCCTTTTCCTCAGCCAAGAGATAGTTCTCTCCTCATGTCAATGTATGGCAAGAACCATCACAACATTGTCCAATTAAAATAAATTAATTTTTAAAAAAGAAATGATAGGCAGTTTCTGCCTTTTTTAGAGCACTAATGAAGCTGGATTCATTCCAGCTTCAGATCCTTCCAGTCATTCCTTCCTCTCTCCCTCCCTTCCTTCCTTCCTTCTTCCCTTCCTTTTTTTGCTCATTCCTCTCCTTCTTTCTCTATCACTTCCCAAGAGTGAATTCAGTACTTCTGCTGACACAAACCTGTGTGTGTGTGTGTGTGTGTGTGTGTGCACGCGCGCGCTAAGTCACTTCAGTTGTGTCCTACTGTGTGTGATCCTATGGACTGTAGCCCGCCAGGCTCCTCTGTCCATGGGATTCTCCAGGTAAGGATACTGGAGTAGGTTGCCATTTCCCTCTCCAGGGGATCTTCCTGACCCAGGGGTCGAACCCACATCTCTTATGTCTCCTGCATTGGCAGGAGGGTTCTTTGCCACTAGCACCACCTGGGAAGTGCAGACCTGTACTTGGCATTTAAAAAAATAACTTCCTCGCCAGAAACAAACTTACAGTTGCTCTTTTCAAAATGTTTGACCCCAGTTGATCTGAAGACAGTGGCAGACCATTTTCTCTTCTAACATAAAATTTTACCTTCAACACTGAGTACTCTGTGGCATTTGTTATGCTCTCAAAACTGTTTGTGGAATGACAGTTGAATAAAGAAAAAGTTTTGCTTTTTTTATCTATTCATTTTTCTCCATTTTCCTTTGGATTAAGAAGTAACAGGATGAATTAATTTTTAAAAGAATTTTTTTTTCTGGGTCCCTCTCCTGGGACTTAGCCTTGTCATTTTGATGGAGGATTGAGAAGACTCACTGATGTATCTAATCTTAACCAATTTGGAGTCTACTGACATGCTGGCAGTATTAAAGAAAAAGCACCGTCTTGTTAGGCAGGTTGCGGGGCCGCCTTTCTATCACAGGCTTCTGCATGCTTCATCTTCCGCAGTGACACAGCAGTGATGTAACTTACTCGGAGGTACACCGCTCCATTTTATGGCAACAGTTTAAGAAATTAAAATTACCTATGTGGAAAGTATAATAAGCATTTGGGAAGTATTTCAAGAAGAGTTATAGTGACACAGTAAATGGTGCTTTTAGCTATTCCTTCATTTTAGTGATGTTTAAAACCAAGAGCCATCATTCTTGGGTACCTCTGGAGATGCCTGGAGCTTATGCAGTCAGTATTTAAGTGTAAGTGGTCCTTTTTGTATTTTCATTTTATATGCCATGCTTAACTAAAGGCTTGTTTAAAACTTACTAGAGTAAATACATAAAGTGACTAAATTAATATGAGTAAGACACAGCTTATTTAAAGCTGCTTGCCAAGACTGATTAAGGTTGATTGCCTAGGTTGATTCTAGACTGGCCAATAAAGAATCATCTGGCTATTTTACTAAAGAGATGGGTGCCCTGAGCATCCACCCAGAATCTGAGTTAGCTGGTCTAAGGTGTGGTCCATATTCTAGAATATTCCCTGTGTTAATCCAATTTGCAATAGGTTTAAGAAGAATTGATAGGTTATATCCATTTGACTGAGTAATTAGTTGTAATTTAAATAAATGAATGAAATAAATGACTTCATTGAGACTGTGCCCACAAAAAAGGTGATGCAATTAAGACCCAAGGCATTTTTTTTATTATAAGAAAGTAAGCATTTAATTTTTACTATGTAAAAACATTGATCAAGCCCCTACTAAGTTCAAGGAATGTACTAAACAAAAACGGAGTGTATCAAACACTGATACGCTCATGGTGTGGTCCTTGGAGCAGCACTGGCATCACCTAGGCACTTGTTAATAATACAGGTTCTCAGGCCCCCCCAAACCTATCAACTCAGAAACTGGGAGTTGGAGCCCAGCACCTGTGTTTTCTGAATCCTACCAGTGATACAGATGCAGCCTTAAGCTTGAAAGTCACTGATGTTTATATGATGAATGAAACACTGTCTCTGATAACTTCCAGTGACTTGTACTTGGTGCGAGATCCACCCACTTAGTCTGTGCCCTACAGAAGTTCTGTTGGAGGTTTGTGAAGGAAGGGCATCGAAATCACACCTGGATTTAGGAAGGGCTTCATGGATCTGACACATGTGCTACGTCCTGAAGCATAAGCTCTAATTGGCCAAAGTAGACGAGGAAGACCATTCCAGAGAATTCCAGAGAAGGAAATGGCAGCCTACTCCAGTATCCTTGCCTAGAGAACCCCATGGACAGTGGAACCTGGGTTACAGTACATGGGGTCTCAAAGGGTCAGACAAGGCACGCTGTGACTAGTACACGCTGAGAGAATCAAACACTAAGATGAGGGCATCAGAGAAGTTGATAGAAACGATGGTACAGCATGGGCAGAAACACGGAGCTCCCAGAGTGTGCTCTTAGGAAACCTCAAATAGAGCAGTAACAGTCACTCGTAAGCTTCATAAAAGTCTGCAGCAGAATATGGCTCTGAACATGGCCTTTGGAGCCAGTTCATAGAAGATTTTGAATGCAACCTTCTAGAACAGCACAGGGTTAGAAGGCCATTCCCAGCTATGGAAAAAAGGTGAGGAGACTGTGGGTGAGGGTCAAAGAGAAGATGAGCAATTCAGTTCAGCAAAGTAACATGTGTTGAGCATTCTGTCCCAAATGTACCATTATAACCTGGAACAGGAAGGATTTTGAGGGAAGTGAAAAGTGAATTGCTAGATAAAAATAGACAGGGAGATAGCTTTTGTAGCTTCTTAATCCACCCCTCAAAAAACCCCAGCAAAAACAAAAAGTTTTAAACTTAAAAGCTCTGGAATGAATTAAGATCTAATTAGAAGTTAAAGGTAGAAATATAACAACTTTGTTGTCTAATGAGAGTCACTCAACAATATACTTGTGGTATATACTGGGAGAATTTGCTTGTGAAGTTGCTCTGTTGTGTCCAACTCTTTGCAACCCCATAGACTGTATGTAGACTGCCAGGCTCCTCCGTCCACGGGATTCTCTAGGCAAGAATTCTGGAGTAGGTTGCCATTTCCTTCTCCAGGGGATCTTCCTGACCCAGGGATCGAACCCAGGTCTCCCGCACTGCAGGCAGACTCTACCATCTGAGCCACAATGAAGCCTGGGAGAATAATGCTGTATAATCACAAGCCCTGTTTTTGCCTCTCAAATGCTCAAAGCCTCCTGTCTTAAGTATTTTATATCCTACATCCTTTTGTATCTATCCCTCTCTTTATTTATTTTTATAGCACTCATCATTAAAAATATATTATACATTAACTTATTCATTTTTACCCTCCAGCCAAGCCATGAGCAACGTGTTTTCTGGCCTGCTGTATCTCCAGGGCTGAGAACAGTGTCAGGCACGAAGACAGAATAGAAATATTCTCTCTCAATGAATAAAGTATCATAAACCAAACACAAATAAATGTTATATCAATACTTTTATCAATATTTAGGCACTCCCGATGGATCCATCTTTCCTTGATACAAAACTAGCTTTCATTAGTGTCTAATCTGAAATTAGCCACCGCTGAAATTGCCTTAATCCCTAGATCATTCCTGCTTCAGTGTGATTAAAAACACATTGTGATCTTTGCAGAACAATAGGTTCCCTAAAGTAATTCAAATAGAGCTTTTATAATGGATTCTTTACCAGCTGAGCTACCAGCAAGCCCAGAAAGATTCTAACTCACTGCTTAATTGAAAACAAGATGCATATAGCTCTTCACCTCACATATGGGTGGAAATATTTTAAGTTACCTTGATTCATAAATACAAACAAACCATGCTGAAGAAAGATTCCCGAGTGTCTGCCCGTGGTCAACTTTAAATCAGTTTATATAAAAGCTAAGGGCTAGAATTGATAGTTACGGAAAAGAATGTCAGAACTTGAAAAATAAGGTGTGACTTATAACCAGGAGCCTCAGCACTTCCTCTCTATTTGTTTTTCATGAGGGGGGATTGAAATTTCTCTGATTTAGCCGGGGTGGGGAGTAGTTGAATGAAACAGGAGTCACAAGTGCAAACAGAACTATTTATTGAGGAAACTCTTCTAGGTACTGGAGATAGAGTGATACAAAGACTGTTGAAAGAAATTTACATTATAGTGAGAAAGTCACTAAACCGATAAATTAGTATATAATATGATCATAAACTGGAGCATGGGCTAATATACATAGTAAGTGACATGTTCTCAGCATATTGCTTGATGAATTCAATGTTACCCTTCATCCACTAGGTACAGCTCAGGAGACTATACATTTCGTCTGATACTTAATGCATGCATGTTGTGATGAATTGGTATTAATGATTGTCATTAAATAACTTGTACTTTTAGCAGCTCTTAGAAGAAGCAATCAAGATGATTCAAGCTATATAAAAAATAAAATATGGTTATGTTTCTATCATTTATGGCCACTCTATAAATACAATTCAGATAAATGAGTGCTAGGAAAAAGAAAATAAGGTAATTATAAGTTAGCAATTCTGTAGTGTTTACTGTGTGCTAGGCTGTATTCTGAGCCAATTTCTCTCAAATTTTATCGTGTATATCAATCACCTGGGGTTCTTGTTAAATACAGATTCCAAGTTGGTAGTTCCCAAAAAGGCACTAAGATTGTGCATTTCTAAGAAACTCCCAGGTGATGCCTATTCTTCTGGTCAGCGGGCCGTATTTTGAGTACTGAGGGAATATACATTTTACATGAGGCTAAATGAGGGAGGTTTCCTCCAAGGCAGGGAACTGGGGAAGGGCAATGGTGAAGCAAACAGCAACTGGAAAGGTGCAGAGGCAGAAATAAGATGTGTGTCCCGGCAGCAAAGTGAAGTGATGGGTGAAGAGGTAGAGAAAGCAGGGTGTGAAATTAGCCCTGTCCAGTGCAAATAAATGTGGTTTCCACAACTGGAAGGTCAGTGCTATCACAGCTGAAGACCCAGACGCTGTCCCTAGGTCATTGTCGCTTTTGAGTTGCTACATCCTGTCTGACTATTTTGCGACCCCATGGACTATAGCCTGCCAGGTCCGTCTGTCCATGGGATTTCTCAGGCAAGAATACTGGAGTAAACCGTTTCCTACTCCAGGGCATCTTACCCCACTAGCGATCGAACCCATGTCTCCTGAGTTGGCAGGCAGATTCTTTACCACGGAGCGACCAGGGAAGCCCATCCTTAGGTAGACTGGGATTCACATCTTAACTATACTATGTGACCTTGGTAAATCACTTCACTTGTAGAATTTTCTATTCAGTTAAAAGATGATAAACACAGAACCTGTAGAGCTAATGTAGAATTAAGTGGGAAAGCTTATAAACTACCTGGCCCATGCTGAAATTTAAATGAATATACAAACTAGCATGATTATTAATCTCAAAAGACATAAATGGCAAAGGCTTAAATTTATAATTGCTGCAGTTAAATCCACAGGTAGGAAAAGGTGATTGAAAGAATGAGTCATAAAGAAAAGAAAAAGAAGGCAAAATTATACTACAAATGGAGAAATAGCACCGTTTCTTTCCCGCTGATTTTACTCTTCTAGACTAGGAATGAGTTTCATGTGGTTTCAAGACAAGCTATCAGTTTCAAAGAAAAATTAGAGTCTGCTCTCTTTTTATGGAACAGTCCATTAAGTTTATTCTTCCATGTGAGAATTTCTTTTTTTTTAAAAAAAAGTACATCCCCTCAGTTCCTTTTAAAATCCCACTTCTTCCAGTTTTTACAGAGCTCCCATAGAATAAATCTGCTCACATTTATGCTCACAAAATATTCATTTGGACACAGATTCTGGAATTTAATGTCTAGTTCCAATGTAATTCAGCATACTTCCACATGCTCAGTAATGCATATTCAGCACTTGCATTTCAGTTAAAATGGATGTCCATCTTGCTTTAAAAATCTTTTTTCATTCCTCAGCTACCATCACATCAGCCACCATTCTCTTGGATGACTTCCTCACAATAGGAGAAAGAAAGCACCTGTACAGATATTTAAAATAAAGTAACACTCGAAGGGTTGGCTGGGTAGTTTTTATCATTCTCATGTAATCTCATAGTTAACATGACATATCTTGATTGCAAAGCCCTGATCAGACAGCTCAGGAAAGCCAGGAATACAGGGCTAGATGGGGTTTTCCCAAAAGGGCATTTTGATGTTTTGTTTATACTGTCTTACAGAAAAAGAAGGAGGCTGTAGAAAGTGGCAAACGACAGACTGAAAACACTTTAAAAGAAGGCAATGATATACTTGATGAAGCCCGTCGTCTTGCAGATGAAATCAACTCAGTCATAGTGGTGAGTATTTTATGAAACCCAAGGTTAAACGATGATAATGACGCAAGGGCTCTTGAATGGGAACCAGTGAGAAATTCAGTAGTGTATGCAAATACTGTTACTTTCTTTTGAGTGTAAAGTTGTTTTTGTCTCACTCTATTGTGACCATGCCCAACCATTGGTAACAATTAGAACTTCACATTATCCTCTCAGTAATGAGGGTAGTCGCACATTCAAACCAACCTGTATTTTTTTTTCACAGTGATGAAGGGCATTTATCATTCCTAGTATAGAACTTAAAATGTGCTTCAATATTCATATAACATTAGTTAAACGAGAAATGTAAAGCTACAAACAGACTTTCAACATGCTGTCTCATTCAGTAAATGCTGATATATGATGACATATGGTAATAGGAGTGCAAATAGTCTAAAAGATCCTATTGACTATCATTTATGCATTTAGACCTATGAAGTAGCATTTTTTTAAAAAAGATTGTTAGGTTCTTCTTGGTATAAATTCCCTTTGCATATTTTCTAATCTCTTTCATTAAATAATAGCTTTTATTCTCTATTCTTTTTCTTGCTAGATTGGTAAATTTTAAGTGTTCTAAAAACCTAAGCATGTGTAATTATATCTCCAAGAGACACTAATCAATGAGAGGAAGCTGGATTCACTTATTTAAAATGCCTTCTTTTCTCTACGTATCAGTACGTCGAAGACATTCAAACTAAATTGCCACCCATGTCCAAGGATCTGAAAGATAAAATAGATGACCTCTCCCAAGAAATAAAGGACAGGAAGCTGGCTGAGAAGGTGTCCCAGGCTGAGAGCCATGCAGCTCAGTTAAATGATTCGTCTGCTGTCCTTGATGGGTATGTCATTTGTGGCTAGAAATGTCTATTTATCTTGACACTTGTCCAAAAGTTTTGACTAGCAGAAACAGGTTGAGAGTTGCTTTCAAATCTTGATTTTTTGTAACTATTAACATACAAACTGCATGGCCTTTCTGTGGAAAAGCCTAATTAGAAGGGTCTGGACAAAGCTCTACTGGAGCACCATCAAAAGTCTGAGTTAAAAGTGAATTCAAATATTGCATGGTGGGGAGCGAACATTGCCTTAGGCTACACTTAGAAAAAATATTTTGTTCTTTATTAGAGAGCACAGCAGTTGCCTTATTAGCATTTTAAATAGTAATGTATAAACACACATTCTGCTAAAAATTTCAGTTTTATAATTTAAAGAAATCAAAACTATTTGTTGTTAAAGGGCTGGCTTTTGAAAATGTGGTTCCATCAGTTCAGTTCAGTTCAGTTGCTCAGTCGTGTCTGACTCTCTGCGACCCCATGGACTGCAACACGCCAGGCCTCCCTGTCCATTACCAACTGCCAGAGTTTACTCAAATTCCTGTCCATTTAGTGATCAAATCTGGCCATGTCTTATTGAACAATGGATTCACGTTGATTTGAGCAATCCAATGTGTTTTATTAGATCATTTCTATAGGAAGTAGTGATTCAGTCTTGAAAAAGTACAATAGTTCTCTCTTCTTAATGACAAGCAACTGGTGAATGATGTTTTATCCTTTGATAACAGATTTCTTTCACTGAGTTTGTTAAATTATTGTTGTCTGTCATCATCTAGACATAACCCTGTCCTTTCTACAAAATAGATTGCTAATACAAGTATATTCTTTTGGGATTGTATTTTTGCAACCATAATACCCAAAAGTGAGATACATGATGTCTGAATTTTTGGCATAAATTATTGTGTCTTTCCATACTTTCTTCTAGGAACAGCTGTCTGGTAGTACCAGAGGAATCTTCCAGAACTCTTGATTCCATAACTTGGATAAAGTTATTCTGACTCTATCATAAGTTCTTTCTCCTCCTGTGTTGCCTTGCTACTTTTTGCTGTGGTAATTTTAAGATTTTCAAAAGTCCATTGTGCTTTCATTTTAAATGTACATACATCACATCTAGGGCTTCCCGGGAGGCTCAGATGGTAAAGAATCTGCCTGTAATTAAGGAAACCCAGGTTTGATCCCTGGGTTGGTAAGATCCCCTGGGGAATTCATATCAGGCATGCTAAAATGTTTCCCTTTCCTAAAGAACACATAATTGGTATATGAACTGTTGTATATGTATAGGATACAGTCAACTCAAAAACACAGTATTAACATTTGTAAGGCTTTATTTTAAGATTTGATTTTGTGGTCTTCATTTTTGAATTCAGCGCATTTTATGTTAAAGAGTCATTATTTCCATAAGCTCTTGAAAAGCCATAAGTCTCTTGCCTTGGGTCGATGATGAAGATAACTTTTTCTTTTCTTTGCTCTTATGTGTTTGCTTCACACTTTAGGCTCATTTTTCTGAGACTTCTATAGAAGGTTATCTTTTTCCTTTCCGTGTCATTTTCATGATCTCCTGCTCTCCCCAATAATTTTATTTTTTTGTTTTCCAAAATCTCTACCACTTGTCACTTCTTTCTCTCTTAGGTTCACTTCTCTTCTGTATTCTCTTCTTGTAGCTTGTACAAATAATTAGTTTGTACTCTCTGGCATCAGTTTATGTGAGGCAGAATATACATATATAGAATCTTCTTGGAGAACTGCTGTTTTTTTTTTTTCTTAATTCCCCCAGCACTTAACATTGTTTTCATGTCTTGGCTATTGTAAATAGTGCTGCTATGAACACAGCGGTGCATATATATATTTTTTCAAGTTAGAGTTTTCATCTTTTCTGGATGTAAACCCAGGAGTGAGATTGCTGGATCATATGGGTCATTTAGAGTTTTAAGGAACCTCCATACTGTTCTCAGTAGTGGCTGCACCAATTTATATTCCCACCAATGGTGTAGGAGGATTCCCTTTTCTCCACAACCTCTCCAGAATTTATTATTTACAGGCTTTTTATTTTTATTTTTTTCATTTATTTTTATTAGTTAGAGGCTAATTACTTTACAATATTGTAGTGTTTTTTGTCATACATTGACATGAATCAGCCATGGATTTACATGTATTCCCCATCCCGATCCCCCCTCCCACCTCCCTCTCTACCCGATCCCTCTGGGTCTTCCCAGTGCACCAGGNGAGTGCAGTTGTGCAGTAGTTTGAGCATTCTTTGGCATTCCCTTTCTTTTGGATTGGAATGAAAACTGGTGATTCCATACATAGCCATTAGGTCTTTTTTTTCCCCCTTTCAAACTCCATGAAGACACTACTATTCTCAGTACTGCCCTGTGAAATAATAGCTCATTATAACTGGTATTCTTATATGGGTCAGTGGGGGAGGGGCCACTAGTGAGATGTGTTTCACTAGTAAACAGCCTTCTCAATATAATTGGTTTGCTTCCCCTACAATCTGGGGATTGTCATAATAAAATAGGTGTATTAACCCCAAGAATAATTTTCATAAATAAATCTGGATTTAATATATTCCATGTGAAAGGTTCTGTTTCAAAACTTAATACTCTTGATACAAAGGAAAATATTAATGTTCGAAGACCGTGGGAAAAATTCATATATAATTCATTTTATTATAATGGTTCTAGCTTGGTTATTTAGGAATATGAGTTTAAACTGAAAGCTACAATATAATACAGTTAGTAGATACCTCACTATGATTTGGGATTATCATTATTATATTGGCCGTGATCATTTGGAAGCCTTATTTGTTATAAGTAAGTTCTTCAAATATTCTTCATTTGAGTACCAACTGCTCTGATATTCTCTTTTTGGGTAATCCCTACAGAATCCTTGATGAAGCTAAAAACATCTCCTTCAATGCCACTGCAGCCTTCAAAGCTTACAGCAATATTAAGGACTATATTGATGAAGCTGAGAAAATTGCCAAAGAAGCCAAAGTTTTTGCACATGAAGCCACAGAGCTGGTGAGAAACAAATAGTGCTGTGTACTGAGGTCAGCCTTCTCAAATAAGTATCTAAACTACATTTCTCCAACTTAAGTAAGCTCTGGAAAATCCTGCCAAATCAGAACATTAATTTTAAATTATTTTCACAGGCTCCTTTTAAATTTTATCCAAAATAAATTCTCAGTGTGCTGTAATCATCGCAGAACTCTTCTCAGTTACACGCTACTTTCCACCACTAATAAGAGTTGTATTATTATCCCAGGTGACAAATAGGTTTGTGCCACCAACTCATAAAGGAAAATGGCCAAACATAAGACACTGAAGAGGGAAATTTATCACAGTTATTCCATATGTCTTCAATAAGAAAGTGCTTTGAATATTAACACCATTGCTTATAGTCACATATAAGTTGATTCTATGTAAAGTTTAATAATAAGGTGCTCATTTTACAAAACATGCCAAATCAGATACTTCTAAACTATTATACTATTTTTATCCATTGAAATATTTACCTTCAAAAAAAAAAAAAGAAATATTTACCTTCAAAGCTACTTTTGGCTTCTGTCATTGTTCAAAATAGATTTTCAATTAATATGTTAGAGTTTGGGGATTCTAGGTATAGCACATTATCTGAGTATCTTCAACAGTGACAAATTTTTTTCCTTTACATGTAGACAAACATTTTGTAAACAGGCTATGTTTGGTAAAGCTTGGCAATACTTTTTAGGTCAACTTTCATTTCACAGGAATCACACGGTTAGTTAAAATGTTCAGATCCATCTCTTATTCCTTTGGCTTGACACAGAATCCTCCAAATACATCAGAATTTCAGGAGGAAAAAAACTTGCCTGGACATTTGACTGTTAATGAAATATGCAGAAATAGTGGGTGTTGAAGAAACAAATCAGTATTTGCTTTGGTATTTAGCACAATTGCTTTCTTGGATTTCAGAGATAGCAGAGGTATTTGCCACATACTTAGATGGTTTATTTTATGGTCATAGTGAAAACATCATATTCCATCAGCAATTACTACTGTTTGGTTTCTCTGGAATGACTTTACTAATACTGTGTGCTCTGTTTATTTCTTATTCAAAGTCATGACACTATTATTACAAAAACGTACCTATGTTCAGTTATCCTTTCAAAATGAACCATTTTTCATATCTATTTGAAGATCCTAATCTTTGATTTCACCATTTTCATCTGACCTAAGTCTTACTGGATGTTTTCAGCATCTAGGACAGTGCCTGACAAATCATAGGCCTGGGTGAGTGAATGCCTGTCATTCTAATCGACACTTTTCATGCTTGTTTACAAAATTTTGTACAAATAAAAATCTCAATATTATCATTGTTTCGTTTTTAGAAACTTCTTGCATTTTATGTTAAAGAGCTGTTTATTTTCACTCAAATTTACTACCATCACTTCTGATAGCTTATGGTGAAAGGTATTGGATTCTTAATCTCTGAAGAAGATTTAGCTTCCAGGGACCAGGGACCAGGCTTGATCACTCAGAAGCTTTTGTGTAGCAGAGTTTTATTAAAGTCTGAGAAGAGATGGAGAAAGCTTCTGACACAGACATCAGAAGGGGGACGGAGAGTGCCCCCCTCACTAATGTTAGCAAGGGAGTTTTGTACTTTTTAAATTAGTTATTACAGTAAATCAAAAGAATGCCTCAAGTTTGTAAAAATTTTACCAGACCCACTCCCACAATTTACATTTTAGGATATCATGANACTTCACTTCACTTCACTTCCTCATACTAACTTTGACTGTTTCTTCTCATTCAGTATGTCAACAAATAGACCCTTTGTATATATTATACTTTGCAAGTTCATAGATTTAAATTAAAGCTTTAAATAAATGAAAGGTATGTTAGTTTTCTATGGCTTCCATAAGAAAATACCACAGACTGGGTGGCTTAAACAATGGAAATGTGTTTTCTCACAGTTTGGGACGCTAAAAGTCAGAGATCAAAGTATCAGCTGAGTCATATGATTTCTTCCAAGGTCTCTTTCCTTGGTTTATAGATGGCTGTCTCCTTTCTGCAGGTTCACATGATCTTTCTTCTGTGTGTATCTGTGACGTAGTCTCTTCCTGAGATAGCGAAGGACTTCAGCATGATTTCTTAGTGGGTGTGTGTGTGTATGCACATTTCTGTCTATAACAGAAGGCAATGAAAAATAAAATAAACATCACAGTGCACACAATATCCATGTCACATGTTACACTGCTAATTGTGACAAAGATGAATTCATCTTACAATGAACTCATTTTGGTAAGGGGATTATCTGAACTGACCCATTATTGGGACTAGGCAATGTTCTTTTTCTACCATAACTTGTATCCTGTAAAGGCTCTTTTCACAGTTATATTTTTGTATTTAATTAACAAAAAACAATAGATATTAGCAGTAAGTTATTAGCTCAGGTTTGAAAAAGTCTCCTTTGCTCTACTCACCATGCTATTGAGTTCCCCAAGCATTGGAATGTCATCTGCCTTGCTTACAATGACTAAAAACGTGAGAAATCTGCATATTTTACATATCATCATCTCCCTTGACTGCTCCCTTTCACTCCCATTCTTATTGTTACAACTCTGAATGACCTAAAGGGGATAGTACATTTATCTTTTGGCTACTTCCAGTTTGGTAGGGTCTAGTGTGCTGACTGCAAGGAGATCCAACCAGTCCATCCTAAAGGAGATCAGTCCTGGGTGTTCATTGGAAGGACTGATGCTGAAGCTGAAACTCCAATACTTTGGCCACCTCATGCGAAGAGTTGACTCATTGGAAAAGACCCTGATACTGGGAGGGATTGGGGGCAGGAAGAGAAGGGGACGACAGAGGATGAGATGGCTGGATGGCATCACTGACTCGACGGGCATGAGTTTGAGTAAACTCTGGGAGTTTGTGATGGACAGGGAGGCCTGATGTGCTGAGATTCATGGAGTGGCAAAGAGTCAGACAAGACTGAGTGACTGAAGTGAACTGAACTGAACTGAGTGTGCTTCAGCTCTGCTGGCCTACTTCAGTGATTCTAACATGGGGTAATTATTATTTTCACTTATAGCAACATTGTACCAGGAGCTATGGTAGTAACCATGTCGGCATTCTTGTTTCCATAGTGATTTACTCTATTTAAGGTGGGGTTTGGGGTGAGGGGAACAACCACTAAGTAAGAACATGTAAAAGCTATGAGAGGAAAAGTAGCTTTTCTTATTAAAATGATAGGATGAAAGATCTCTATTGATGATTTGACAAAGGCTGCTAATGTAATTGCAAGAACAAGACATGGATTTCCTAGACAGCATTAAGTAAGACCTTAAGAGAAAGGGGGTTGCTTTGCTTAAGAACATGAAAAATCATTTATTCATTCAACAAATATTTAAATATTTTGTTAGCATCTGCCATGTGGTAAACAATGCCCCAGGTTCTAATGATTCAAATGTGAACAAAAATAGACAAGGAGAGAGGCATTAAGTAGAATAATTGGATTCTAGTCACGTATGTCTACATAAAGTTATATTTGTAACCCATGGTGTGAAGAGGGGTACAGGAGTAAGGACAGCCTTTGTTAGGAGAATTTGAACTGTCCAAGCAATTAGAATTGACTTCTCGGCAGAACTGACACCTGAATTTCAATCTGAAGAATGAGTAGGAGTATCTAGGTGATGACAAGAAGCAAAATTGATTGGTAAAGGAGAGTGATCAGACTTGAGCTGTGAAGAGCTGGCTTGTTTGTTTTCCAGAAAGTGGGAAATACCTTGCAGGAAGTCTTTCCCCAAATATTCTGGAGAACATCCCCTTTTTGTATCATTCTGCCATGATCCATGATGTCCTCCAGGGTGAACTGAGTGAGTTACCTTGCTACATCATTCATAAATCTGTACTGTAAGAATAAAATTGCACTGGGTTCTTGTGATTACTGAATGAATTGCTGGAAGACAAGGCCAAGTGAGGCATGTGCAGATAAGGAAAGTGTATCCTAGAGAATATGTGTGTTCTGACCTGAGCCTGAAGGAGAGGTGGAGATCTGGTGTTTTCCACTCACTGTGGAAAGAGCCACAGATCGAGGAGAGAAACTGTTTCCTATTATTAGTCCAGATCAATGATTCAGTTAGTTAGTCATTCTTTTCAATAATAACTGTGGTTATTTCATTCTTTTTCTTGAGTTTGAAATTCCTGAGATCATCCTGCACTTTGCTTCTAATGCTCATATCCACTCCCAAATCTCCTAAATTGTTGTATCTTTTCAATTACACCACCTGGCCCTTCTCCCTTCCCGGAGATAAACCTTTCAGTTGCACCCTAGTTAGCCTTCCTTGTAGTTACTATCTTTTTAAAATGAACTTGTTAGTCTCTGCTGTTTCAGTTATCTGCTCTTTCAAACAGTTATTACTTACTTAGGCTTACTTCTGATTCTTTTAGTATGAATCCACACCTGGTTCCTTCTAATTTCTAATTTAATTAAAAAACTTTTAGTATTATTTGTGTAGGGTCTCATCTTGCACAAAATTTTTTTCCACAAAGAAAACTTATATTCAAAAAGAAGAATACTTGTATTTATTTTAATTAGTCATGGAAATTAAAATAATGACAAATGAGAAAATTAATAGATAAATGACTATCCCTTTATAGGTGTTTTTTGTTTCCTTATCTTTTTCTTTTAAGGTAGAACAAAAAATACGTAAATTGTGAGCTTTCTATATGCAAAGGATTTGGCTTGTTCAATGTCATAGCCATGATATAGGCTGACAAAATAATAAATGACTAAATACACAATAAATGGGAAAAGTACAAATGGATAAAGATCTGTATTACAGATCCCAATAAAGGTTGGAATCTGATAAAGATATGTTTCATGTGTGTTCTATTCAGACTTTTTCTTGACAAAGTGGTTCTCAAATTTGTGTATGCACCTCAGTATCACTGATGGGTCTTGATGAAATGTAGGTTGCTGGGCCTCATACACAGAATTTATGATTCAGGCATTCTGAGGTGGTCCAATTTTTAATAAGCTCCCAGGTAATACTGCTGATCTGGGGACCTCACTTTGAGAACCATTGATTTAAATGGAATATCACAAAAAGACAGGGAGAAAAGGAGAACTGAAACTTTGTTGGTCTTTGAGGTAAGGGTACATTTATCTCTGCAATTTGAATCTCCACTATAGTCAGGCTGCTGCATAATTTCCTCCGGATTTGATCTACAATAATTCTCTACATTATATTATTCCACGGCAAATAAAAGGGGAAAAGGAAGTCGTGACAGATTTCTTCTTCTTGGGCTCTAAAATCACTGCGAATGGTGACTGCAGCCATGAAATCAGAAGACAATTCCTTCTTGGCAGGAAGGCTATGACAAACCTAGACAGTGTATGGAAAAGTAGAGACATTCCTCTGCCGACAAAAGTCTATATAGTCAAGGCTATGGTCTTCTGAGTGGTCATGTACAGTTGTGAGAACTGGAGCATTAAGAAGGCAGAATGCCAAATAACTGATGCCTTTGAACTGTGGTGAGAGATAAACCTTTCAGTTGCACCCTAGTTAGCCTTCCTTGTAGTTACTATCTTTTTAAAATGAACTTGTTAGTCTCTGCTGTTTCAGTTATCTGCTCTTTCAAACAGTTATTACTTACTTAGGCTTACTTCTGATTCTTTTAGTATGAATCCACACCTGGTTCCTTCTAATTTCTAATTTAATTAAAAAACTTTTAGTATTATTTGTGTAGGGTCTCATCTTGCACAAAATTTTTTTCCACAAAGAAAACTTATATTCAAAAAGAAGAATACTTGTATTTATTTTAATTAGTCATGGAAATTAAAATAATGACAAATGAGAAAATTAATAGATAAATGACTATCCCTTTATAGGTGTTTTTTGTTTCCTTATCTTTTTCTTTTAAGGTAGAACAAAAAATACGTAAATTGTGAGCTTTCTATATGCAAAGGATTTGGCTTGTTCAATGTCATAGCCATGATATAGGCTGACAAAATAATAAATGACTAAATACACAATAAATGGGAAAAGTACAAATGGATAAAGATCTGTATTACAGATCCCAATAAAGGTTGGAATCTGATAAAGATATGTTTCATGTGTGTTCTATTCAGACTTTTTCTTGACAAAGTGGTTCTCAAATTTGTGTATGCACCTCAGTATCACTGATGGGTCTTGATGAAATGTAGGTTGCTGGGCCTCATACACAGAATTTATGATTCAGGCGTTCTGAGGTGGTCCAATTTCTAATAAGCTCCCAGGTAATACTGCTGATCTGGGGACCTCACTTTGAGAACCATTGATTTAAATGGAATATCACAAAAAGACAGGGAGAAAAGGAGAACTGA